TGTGTGTGTGGCCAGCTCAGCCCACCAGGGGGCGGGGCTGGCTGGCATGTGGTGCTGGGGGATTGAACCGCGGTCCCTGATGCTCTGCCAAGCTTGTTCTAAGTAGGTGCTTTAGACCACTGAGCCATCTCTCCAGCCCCAAGTTTGCAGTCTTACAGGTCATTTTGAAGCTCAAAAGTGAGCCAATCTTTGTTAATTAAGTGCCATTTCATTCTGTGAAGTAGTATCTAAAATTTTAGGAAGATAAAAATGATACCAGAGCATGTGTAAGCCTCCCTGTTACTGGTTTGTGGTTGCTTTTTTTTCCACAGAAAAAAGCTAAAGCCAGGGCTGGGGAGATAGCTCAGTAGAATAAGCTCTTGCCTGGCAAGTCCAGGGTCCTGAGTTCAATGCCTGGTACCCTCCCACCAAAAAAATAAAGGCCAAAGGTACAAAATCTTGAGGGTTGTTAAAGAAAGAAAATGAAACATGATAGAGAAGAAAACTTTGCTTTATGGATCGTCCTTTGTCCACTGGTCTATCACTGTTGTATTCAGAGCTCTCAGATCTGCAAGGCAGATTTGTCAGTGAAAGAAACAGAATCAAAATTGTGTAACTTGATTAGTGAGGAACAGGAGTTTAGATTACAACATAATTCTATCAAACTCACTGAGGTTTCTCTACCAAGCAAGTGTTTGAGTAACAGTTTTGGGAACTTAGAACATATTTTCATATTCCCTTATAATCACAATATGCACTTTCTAGGTATAACAGCCAACAGGATAAAAGAAAATTCTGAAGGTACTTCTGTTGTCTGTTAAGTACTACTGGTTAGGATAATTACTGTATTTGGTTATAGGCACACATATTCCCCCATGCACTCATGTTTTGAGTAAAAATGTAAAAATGCTAGTGAAGAAGAAGAAGTTATCAGGGACGGAAATGTTGCTGATGTGACATTTTGATTTATGGACTTTGGATTGCTTTTGAGTTTTACAGGAAATGATAATGCCAGAGGCATCAGAGTAGAGCAGGCTATGTGTACCTGCAAAGGCTTTGGAAGCTAGCAGCAGCCTGGGCCAGCTCTGCCCCAGCTGGGGGCTTTCTTTCCTTAACAGTTGAGCTGAAAAGAGGTGAGAAATGACTGATGGACATTGTATTTCAGAAAGAGAGAGAAAGAATTTTTCCATCTTAGCTTCTTTTTCTTTTCTCAAAGAGACACTTGTCCCTAGTGCAGATTTACATAAGTTAGTCCAAAAATTAAGCGCTCTCATTTCTTTTTTTTTTTTTTTTTTTTTTTTTTGGAGGGGGGTTCTCTCTTTTGAATGGCATTAATTAATTTTTTAAATAATTTTATTGAGAAACAAATAGCAATGAGACAGTTTCAAAACCGATTAGTAGGACAGTTTCAATAATTAATACATTGCATATTGTTGTCTTAGTGGTTATTCATTGTACAAGGTGCAGATATGATTTCCCATCTTCAAACACTATTAGAACGAATCTATCTATTCATTGAATTCAGAGAATGTAGCTATATATCTATCCTATCTATCCTAACTTTTTTATTTTTTTGGTGGAACCGGGGATTGAACTCAGGCCCTTGCATTTGCCAGGGAAGCACTTATTCCACTGAGCTGTCTCCCCAGCCCCAGAAGTTGCTGAATTGAGCCTTTTACAGCTCAGCATGTTAATATGGCTTTACTTTTTATACTTTGTTTTTACACTTTTCTGCTGGATGGTTAAAACCAAGATGAAGCAAGACCTGTATAACAAGAAATGTAGCTTTTGTATCTGATAAGGTCAGTCAAATCCCCTCAGGATTTATCCTGAAACCTTGTACTGAAGTTAGTAGATTCTTTGTCAGTGTCAGTCATGTGGATGAGTCACGGCCATTGCTTGACCCATTTGCTCTCTGTGAAAGCCTAAGAGAATGTTTTCTCTCCATGTGACTCTCCTTAGGCACACTCTACATCATTGATCACTTTCCTCTATGGCCCCATCATTTCCTTGATCAGAAAATTTGGGACACAACTGAGTTACCTGTTGTTATAGTACAGGTTCTCCTATGTCATGAGTTTTCACTGACCTTGAAAGGCTAGGGCCAAAATGTTGGCTGTCCTTGCAGCCCTCCTTTTTCTCTAATATTTGGTCTGCAAAGTTAGGTTGTTACCCCTCCAGAAGAGAAGCTTATTGTTCTTACCCTATAACCTAAGCTGTTGAGCTTAACCTTACTATCTGGCTGAATATCAACCATTTTAGGCATAACATGGGACAAGTATTTTCCATCAAGTATTGATATGTTAACCCTTAAGTCCCTACAGAATATGAAGAAAAAAATTTAAAAGATAAAAAAATATTTTAAAAAATAGGAATAAACAATTACATATTTTTTACACAGAAGTTTAGAAATCTAACCATATACAATATTGTAACAGGACAGTCCTGTAACAATTTTTTTCTTGTCTCTTGTTTTCATTTATTATCCTTTTTTTTTAAACAAACATTTACTTGAGAGACAGTATGGCAGTAATTGGTACATATTTAGAAGACCAGAATGACAGGCATTCCAAGCATGACCCTACTATTACTCATTGCTATCTTCAGTGAAGTTGCTTAGTTCACAGGTATCAGCACATATAGTTAGTCAGGGTGAGAATCCTACCAATTAACTGCTAGTTTCAAAAATCTCACTGGGAAGAATGTAGGCAATGTGTTAATTATTGAAACTGTCCTACCAATTTGATTTGAAACTGTCTCATTGCTATTTGTTTATCAATAAAATTATGGAAAAACAATCTGATGAAGATTCTCAGATTCATTTCCTTAACCATCTTGTACATATAAATGTATGGCTTTGCCCCTGTCATGTTTCCTAGCTTTTTCCCTTACCCTCTCTTCATTGTCTGTGTTAATATTGTATAGTCTCCCTAGTATAAGAACTCAAAAGAAGATATAAAAATAGAAAGGTATAACACAACTAAATGGAAAGCGAGAACATGAGGAAGAGCTCTCATTTCTGAGGACGGAAGGTTTAAACTTTGCCCATCCTTCAGGCAGCCACACTAATTCCATTCTAATTTAATTTTCATTGGCTGACTGTTCAGCTTACTCAGGTTATAAAAGACACAGAAGGATTATAAAAGCCTTTCAAGGATCAACCACACACATTGCTTTTCAAAGAAATTAAATAACATTGTATCATTAGTAGATAATGGCATGTTGTTTATGAATCAATACAAAATAATTTTCCCATCCTTTATTAGACTTAGGGTAGGTCAAGATGTCCCTTCCGTCCTTCTCTTATAAATGTGTTTTTCTCACCTACCAGCGCTGTGCTAAGCGTTTTCCTCTCAGCTCTAGTCCCAGTCATTCTGTAAGTGTTGAAAGCAAACTTCCAACCTGCTGCATGGCCAGTGTCACTGTTTGTCTCTTCATGAGCCAATTGTGGAATCAAACGACTTCTTGAGTCCTAAAATCACGAGAGTTCTTTCTGGCCTCTGACACTGTTGATCATTTGATGCCTGAAATTCTCTACAGAATCCCTGTAACAATAAGGGAACAACAAAAGCCAACTCAGATCCAATGAAGACTATCTAGGGATGGCCCACGCCCCCGACGTGTCCTGTAAGCCCCCTGCCATGGAGTGGCAACTTCAGTTTGATGTAGCTACTATTTCCTCCTCGCCATATTTCTGACTTCTTACGGTTTTAAATCTTTCAAATATCTTTTCGTCTTTAAAAATTCAGGTTGTGGTAGCTTCTGGGTAAAGCTTTCCTTGGAATTTCTCATCCCAGGTCAAATTGGCAAATTGCTCTTTGTTGTGTAGACAGTTTGTATATATTTAAGGAGGCATATACCTTATTGGGCATAAATATGTATTCCTAACAAACCAAGGTCCTATTTTTCAAAGACATGTGCCATATTTTATTAATCACTGTCTATCTAGTGCCATGTTTGTTGTGCACGTTATCAGTGTGAGTAACTAAGACCTAAAGGTCTCATTCATTCTCTTTTGCTGGTTTGGCCACGTACTCTTGAAACACCTGCACTTTTCAGGCCTCCTGAGGTTTTTCAAAGAAAGAAGATGCTACCGCTTGAAACCACTTGTGTGCATGAGGGAATGGTCACTCAAAGAGTTCTTGCTTTTACCGGTGGTGTGTCTCATATCTAGCAGCCTTCATCCAAGATTAAGGGAGAGCAAGAAGAAGGATTGGAAGGTGGTGAAACAACTCTGAGAAGGATTTGTGCAAAGTTTTATGAGTGCTGCAATTCAGCAAAAGCTCTCCGAGATACAGGCTTTCTGTAGAACATCAGGAAGAGCTGTCACTGCCCCCCACCTCCAAGTTCTGTTCCCTCATATAGAAGCAATGGTGGGTGCTTCAGCAAAGCATTAAGCTCTCTTCCAGGTTTCCCAGAGTTTGAGAACATAACCTGCAGCTTAGTTCAGGGGTTTTAATTGAATGTGAGAATTGTGTAAAGGTTCTATCTACCGTTGTCATCTAGAATAGCGTATTCTGTAGGTCTTCAGCACTTTGCAAGGAATACTTAACCAAACACTACACCCACCAGACACTCCATGGGGGGGGGGCATTTTATGGTTAAGTAGTTTGAGAAATACTACTCCTCAGAGTAGCCACCTAGAGTTTGGAAATGGACTGTGGAGAGGCTCTAGTGAGCTCTGTAATAAGATTCTTGTTTAATCTGGAATTTTCACTTTTATTTGACCGCAGAAGTCTCTGATAGTCTCCTTCTTTGTGCTTTGGGAGAACTGAATTGAATTATTTGCAACTGGCTTAAGTGATAGTGTTTTTGTGGAAGGCTTTGTCAAAGGCAGTGGAACAGAGAAAAGTAATTTCCATGTCACTGATGACTTAAACCAGAGCTTTGTATGTTTATATAGAAAGGGTACCATTCAATTTTCTCTGTGTATATATGGCATACATAGAATTGAAAGTTTAAATTGATGTATCCCAAGATGTGTTCTAAAATACAGATATAAAATACAGATTGCCTACGGAGTTCCTACGTGTATGTAATATCGTAAGATATTTGTACACAGACAGTTATTATCTCTCACCAGAAAAAGAGCAGAAGTGCTGGTGAAGCAGAGGAATAGAGGAGAAAGAGAAGGAAAAAATAAAATAGGGATAAAGGGAAAGCGAGGGAAGAAATCCTGTACAGAAATGACTGCCAGATTTGCAACTTTCAATGTTTTATCACATTTTGTTTGATACTTCAAGGAATAGTGGGAAAAAGAATAGGTGACCTTTCATGTGGATGACCCAGCAACCCACCTTCTTTAATCAAGATATCGCCAAAGAAGCACAGTGGATCCATTCATCGTAATTTATTCCCCAGATGTTCTGATAGAGCGACGCAGCCTGTGATAAATACCGGGTCCAGTTTAGTTTTCTTTGCATGCTCTCGTGCTGAGCTAGTTCCCACACAACGAGCTGAATACAGTTCTGAGAAACCATTCTTACTTTCTTCCCCTTCTCCATCCTCTTTCTCAGTCTGGGGATGAGAGATAGCATAATTCTGAGTAATCAGGCTCCTCTTGAAATCCTCTTTCAGCGGAAAGCTGGCTGAAATGCAGAACACCTGCCAGACTGACTCATCCCAAGGTAACGTGAGAACCAAAGACGTCATCAGTCTGTTCACTTAACGATATGCTTCCACTGCCCACTGGCTGGCCTCCTTGCTTCCATTTCTGCCTCCTCCTCTGACACAAGTACAAAAAAGCCCTTGATTTTAAAAATCAAGTTCATTTTCAGAGGCAGAAAGGAATTAGAAAAGGATAGGCCACTTGAGAAAGTGTTCCTTGTGCTTTCATTCATTTGAAGCCAACAGTTTCCGTGTAGACAGACGGTGAGAGATGACAGTGCTTCCCATACAGACCTGTGATTGCCACTGCTTGGGCATGGAGCACTGGCCTGGCCAGTCAGTGTTTGATTAGTGACCTGGGGGCAGAATTGTGCTCATTGTGATGACTCTTAAGTGGCAGGCCTCATGCTATCTACCTTTGGATGTTCTCTGTGTGATTTTCTTCTGGGTGATGAACGCTTTCTGCTTTTGCTTTGCCTCTGCTACTTTCCATCTGGTTTCTATCCTAGTAGCCTTTATTGTAGTGGTCAGGCTAACAGATCCTCTTCTAGAAATGTCAGAAATGGGCATGTACATATTCACATGTACATATAGAACATGTTTAATAACCAATATAGACAAATATGAATAAACACCAAAACTGGCATGCATAGCCACAGTCATTGATTCTATGAACACCACTACCAATTCAGTGAGATTCTGCATTATTGGAAGGGAATGACATCACTGTTACCATCTTTTGCACTTCTTTTCTTAGTATCATCATAGACACAAGGAATATTTAATAGTATCCTTTCAAAAATGTCTAGGGTCATAATCCTGTTACCACTAGAACAAGAAGGTGATGAGGGTGTGGACCCTGTATGACATGGTCAGACAAATAATTTAGAGTCAAGTTCTTCATCATTAACTCTGGGACAGGTAGCACCCTCATTTCTCAATGAAAGTGATTTCTAAGATTTTTGAATCCAACCTTACTCTGTTCCACTAAATTCCTTTGTGTTCTGTGTAATCTATATTCTTATCCTTCTATTTATTCATTTATAAATTCAATATGGATTTATTGATCACATGTTTACACCACTAAAGAGAGGATTGTGGTCATATTAAAGATTTTAAAATGTAGTGAAACACTCTTCATGCTTGAGGAACTCAGTCTTTCCAACAAAGGAAAGGCTAATGTTAAGTTGTACCTGAGATGCAATATGCTATCATCTTAGTTAACTTTTCTCTCATTGCTGAGACAAAATACCAAACACCCAGAATTAAGGAAGGGAAGGTTTATTTTGCTCACAGTGTGTGGAGGTTTCAGTCCACACTCAGCTGGTTCCAAGGCAGAGTGGTGTAGCAGAGAGCAATGGTCCAAAGTGGTGGCCAACAGAAAAAGCAGCAGAGCAAACAGGAGGACTGGCAGAGAGCAAGCCCCTGTGCCTACTTCATATTGCATGCAAGCTGCCCACCTCAGGGTGGATGTAGCCCTCGCACCCGTAGTCCAAGCACTGGATGATGAGTCAGTTATTAATGCTAGACTCCCACCCATGATTGCATGAGACTTTGGGGGGACCTCTAGACACAAACAGTAACTGCTGTGATGAAAATAAGAATGCAGAAATGCAGGCTTCAGCTCAGGCACAATCGGAGATGGCAGTAAGCACTGGAGGAAATGTGTATAATGAGAGCATATCCACAAAAATAATGTTGGCTCTTCTCGGTATGTCTTCATAGAGGCATAATGACTCACTCCTAAAACATATGTCTTCTGTATTCTTTCACTCTCTCTGCTCTTCTCTTCAGTGTTAATTGTTTCTTTACCTTCTTGAATCTCTCTTATTCCAGCCAAAACAAGTGGAATTCCTTTATGGGAACTTAGAAGGGAATTCACACACTAATCTCCCTGCAGCTTTCACTCCCTACAAGGCTGATTAAAGTTTGCCATTGTATTTGAAAGAATGGTTGAACATCTTTTGTGACAAATATTTAGGCATCATCATTTATTTGTTTAATTAATTGTATTATTATCATGCAAAGTGATACAGCATCTAGCTGTACAGTGCTTGTAATGCTTAGATGCAGATGAAGTATCTAACGTGGACTGTCTACGCTTGTTTAATTACTCTGGATCATCTAGGAAGAGTCTATCATACCCTGTGTTTTAAAATATATTCTTCAATTTTTATGAATTACAATGAAGAATCAATTTTCCAGAGATAACAGAAATATTCTTAATCACCATGGAGGCACAGGTGGTAGACTCGAAAAAGAACAGTATTTAGTTCCATGTTTTAAAATATTTATTTTGGGGCCAGGGAGATGGCTCAGTGGAATAAATGCTTCCCTGGCAAGTGCAAGGGCCTGAGTTCAATCCCTGGTTCCACAAAAAAAATTTTTTAATATTTATTTATTTTAAATTAATGGGTGATATTGCATTTGCTGTGTTTTAAAGCATACAACATTATGCAATAGTGAATAGCTAGCTAACAAATGCATTATCTCCCAAATTATCGTTTTATGGTAACAACACTAACCATTTTCTTTCATTTTCAAAGAATCCAACACAACATGATGAATTCTAGTCACCAAGCTGTCTGTTAGACTTCTTGAATTTATTCCTTTTGTAAAACTGTAAATACGTTTTGTTTGACCAACATTTCCTTACATCGGAATCCCTAAGTTCTCCAGTCTCCGGTAGTTACCATTTCAGTCTATACTTCTACCAGGTCAGCCTTTTAGATTGATCAAGATCACAGCTGCTGCTTTGGTTTCTGAATTTTCCTCAGCTTCATTGTATCTGTGTTGTTGTATATGAACGACTCTGTTATGGCTGAATGGTAGCATACTCTACATACGTGTGACATACTTCTTAGCCATTGGTCCAGTGACGGTCAGTGAGGCTCATTCAGCAGCTCGGACAGTAACAGTAATGAATACTTCCATAAAAATGGGAGTGGACGTACCTCTCTGGCACACCGAGTTCCTTCCCTTTACCTATACAGCCAGCGGTGGCATTTTTAATATTTTGAAGACAATTCCTACTACCTTTCTTATGGCAATATATTCCTACTAACAAAGTGTATACTTCCATTGTTCTCTCCTTGACAGCTTTGTGGAAGAATTTGGATGAGAAAAATGTAGGTTAATCTACACAGAATCTAAATGCACTCTGTTCAGCTTCTCAAATACAGGCTGCGGACTATTTATAGACTACCATTTCTTCCATGGAAACTGTCTCTTGAAACACAGATTACTGTTTTGGGTTGGAGAGCTGATTAGACATTGAAGGATAATTATGAAACCCCAAATCAGGGAAAGCACACACAGTTTTATTTCTAAAATCGTCAACTATGACATTATCTCCTAATACCACAACTATTATAAGCATGGGACATGTATCATTTAGATTATGTATGTCTAAGGAGCAAATAAAATAATTATATGCCATACAAACATTTTACATTCAAGCACGAATTTCATATACACAGAAAACTTCCATTATGTTACCACAAAAGTAAGATGTGGTAGGCGGGAGCCACTAAAATGAGTGAATTGCAGGGTGAATCTAAGTCAAAAAGAGATGACCTCTTAGAGGAAATCTTAGCATTCGAAAGAAGATGAAACACAAATCTCGTTTAAAAGCTTATTCATTTATTTTCACCATGAGTAAAACTATTATAATGAAATTGTATCAAGGAAACATAGAGTCTGTGCTAACAATGTTGATTCTATGTTAGTTTGTAGTATGTTTAAAATAGAAACATTTCAGGGCCAGCCAGATAGCTCAGTGGATTGAAGCACCTGCTTAGGCAGACGCAGGGGCTGGGGGTCCAATCCCCAGCCTGCCGTGCTGGCTCCACCCCCAAGGTGCGCTGAGACAGCCACTGAGAGTGGGAGTGGTGACATCATGCGCCTGTAATCCCAGCACTTGGGAGGCTAAAAAACAGAAAGGATCACTACCAGTGCAACCTTTGTAGTGAGATCCTGGAGACCCTGTTTGTCAGCGTGGCCCTTTTAGACAGCAAATGAGACCCCAGTTCATTACTCTTACGGTTCCATTGGTTAATCTTCTGGCAGCGTTGCTGTCATCATCTTGCCTCAGGACCTGACCTTTGCCCTGCTAGTGCATTCAAAGTGATGAAAACGTGTTTCCCCTTACACCGTGTCCAGAGATACAGCCAAGTTTAGAGACACTGATGAGCCGGGGGCTTTGGCGTCCTTGAGGGGAGGGACTCACCTACTGTTGTAGCCTGACTAAGCAGAATGAATGGACTCGCTCTTGGATTTCAGGTGAAAAGAATTTCTGAGGACCCTCCTTGCAAGTGTCCGAGCAAGTTCTGCGTGGAGCGACTCTCCCAAGGAAGATACCGAGTGGGCGAAAAGATCCTCTTCATTAGGGTAAAGTTTCATTTTCACTTATCATCTTGTTTTCCATGGAGATGTTCAGAACTTGGGAAAAAATGACTGGAAATATAATAAATAACTGAGCAGGAACTTCTGATGATGTTTACAGTAGCGGTGAACTGTGAGGTACGAACTTTTATTTTCAAGTAGTATGCATGATGATGTATGACTGAGGACTAAATAAATACGATTATATCTTCTACATTTATGCAACCATGCAAAGAGATAATAAGATCCAATGCAATAAAGAAAGTCTGTCCACTTTCCTTTGAGCTTTTAGTTTCTCTCCCTGCTTTGCCATGCCTTGCGTTATGGGAATAATCATCCTATGGCTCTTGGTGCCTTCTTGATTATTCCAATGTGTTTTTTCAAGAAATCTATGCTATGGACTGAAGGGAGAGAATGAAAACTTTATTATTAGTGACTCATTTCTTACTGAATTTTCTGAGTTACAATAAAAGAATGTGGACCAGTGATGGGTTTGTTACTCTCTTCTTCATTTTATAATGGTCCTGATGTAAATTCAAGCAGTCTTAGAGTGTAATAGATGGCCTAGTGAAGCAATGTTTCATACCTTTTGCTAGGAAGCTGCGTTGTTAAATTACAAGATAATTTAATGAGATTGTGACTTCTGCTAAGATTAACAGCTCCTCTTTTAAAAATACAAGGAAATGAAAAATATAGCACTGATTCATTCCCAGAAATCTTCAGTAAAAGTATTTTTATGACTTATATTTGAGTCACTTACCAAAGAACAATTCAAAGGAGGTATATCTCTTCTCAATTTGAATAAATTATGTATATATTGCTTATTATTTGAAGAACAGAATGATGTGAATGTGTGAATTTGTTACAACCAATTAACATTTCTAAAACACCCAAATCTCTAGTAAACCAGTGGACATTTTGTTGCTGTGGCTTTTAAAAATTTCAATTTTTATCTGAAACTTAATTGAAATATAAGTCTTTCTAATGGCTTTAACATGTGTCTGAGGAAACATTTTATTATGTTTACCTTTAAAATATAGTAATGTCAACCATTATGTATTTTAAACTAATTTCGTCAATGTTTACAGAACTTTTTTTAATTTCCAGGAAATGATAGCTATTCTGCTTTGAAATGGCAACAAAAGGGGTCCAACAAGATTATTTTTAAGGTTGGGAATGAATATGAATGAATAGTCTCAGTAGGAAACACAGTTTCCTGAGTTGCTTATGTTGTTGTTTTTCTCATTCTTCATTGCAAGAATAACATATTTTAGCCTAGTTGCTTGCTTTCACTTTACCAATCAAACAATAATTATTTAGAATCTAGTTGGATGGTTTAAAATTCTATCAGATTGACCTTTTTCAGTAGAAAGTGAGGTTCCCTCTGAATACTTGGCCCCAGAGCCTAAAACCAACATAGAGGGCTTTATCTATTTTTAAAGGTTTCCTTTTATAATAGAAATGTCAATAAACACATAACTGAAAAATTAGATGGTTTTCTTCTTCATGTAACCTAGTGTCTTCAGGGTCGCATTACACGTCCTTATGTATCAATGACTTTTAAATGATTGTTATTCTACTTTCATGCATTATAAGGAACTGGAATTGATTGCTCAAAAAGTCTCACAGTATTGAATTAGTTTTCAGATGATCTTAAGGTTGTGTTTTGGTATATTAACTGTGGTGTTCTGAACACCTGTGTTGAAGAGTAAGCCCTTGTAATTGAGTTCCCACACACACACCTGAAGGACAATCACCTCACAGTTTCTTTATTACAGTTCTATATTAAGTTTGCACTTTTATATTGTGGCTTAAAATCTGTGATATCTTTTTATAAGGCTTATATTGTCATAGTCACCTGGCTATGTTTATGTGTATTGGTATAGAAAAAGTACTGGCAGCAAAACATGCTCAGGGCTTTGACATTTGTCCCTTGTTTTCTGTCCAATGAAGCAGTCATGTCTTCTTATTGTCCTAATGAACCTGTCCAATTCAAAGAACAAAGTAGTGTCTTTTAAGTATATTAAGACTGTTGGCTTTACTCCTAAATACAATTATCACAACATTAACTCAGAAAGAATGACTCCCCTGAAAGTCATACCCAAGTTTCTCCTTCCAAGCCCATTTCTAACACAGTTACACTTGACTCACTCCTCTTCATTTAAACCGGACTTCACATTATTACCATTAGCCCAACCCCTTTATTTGTGTATGATTTTGTATGTATGTATGTATGTATGTATGTATGTATGTATACACACATATCTTCTCTTAATACCTCTAGACAGTGATGAGAGGTAAAATTGTAAAACCAAACAAACATGCACAGATTTCAGCAAAAGATCCAGGAGATATTTTCTGTCTAGAGGATATTTGAAAAACTTATGCTTTATCTGTTGATTTCTAGAAACTAATGTAAAGATAGATAGTTCTCACAAATCTAACTTGTACTTACACGTAGATGCATCTATATGATTGTGTGGTCGCGTTTGTGTGTTTAAGTACATCTCCAATTGCAGGTAAGGAATTAATCTCTATCCAACTGTAGAAAGAATTCCTCAGTTGCAGACAAACCTCTGAGGTTTTTCATTTTGCTTTTATTCAAATCTCCTAAAACTCCCCTGGCAAAGGGTTTTTTTTTTTGTTGCTTTGATTGTTGCTGCCCAGTCAAACACAATTTCCAAAAGCCAGTTTTCCTCTCATTCTTTTCACTGAGCGACAGTGTTCCTTGAACTCTCAAACACGACTGATTTGCATCTATATTATACAGATGCACACTTATTGTCCTTCAAGGATGTATGTCTTTCAGTTATGTTTGGGATTTATATGGTGATATGTATCTTTGAAATATGCACAGATAGGTCTGCGGAGCAAGGTCTTGAGTTCCGGGAGGAGAGAAGTAAGAACTTTTCTCTTGTTGTTTTGCTCCCTTGATTGATTTGCACCATTTGGGCTCAAATATGAAATCATTTGGCAAAAATTGAATCAGAAACTTCAAGACAAATGTCTTGAAGTTATATCTGCGGTGTAACAAGAGCTCCTATGATTCTGATGTGTGCTGAAGTTTGAAAATCTCTAATTAGAAAGAGAAGGCTACAGAAAGACACTCATTATAGTACAAGATAGCTAGAATCACTTCATGTCTGCTCACAAAAGAATATTAACACTGTGGCACTAAACAATAATTACTTTAAGAGTTTTATGTATTATTGGGAGAAAATGTTTAATGTTAACATTCAGTAGAGAGAATGGGCATTTAACTTAGATTTCCAAATAAAATAGCTTATATCAAAATGATACATTATTACAATTAAGATTTGAATATAATAAGAATAATTGAAAATAGTTTCTAGTTGTTGAGGACATACAATTATGAGTGAACAAATATTTTGTTTAACTTTTTTATGATTTTCTTATGATAGTAAACAAGATGAATTAAGAGAATTCAGCAATCTGATACAATTGCAAAGTTGAAAACAACTCAAAGGTCCTTGAAAGATGTCAGATTAATTAACTGACTCATTATTATTATTTTTTTTGGCTGGCTCAGCCCACTGTGAGGGCAGGGTTGGCATGATGTGGTGCCAGGGATCAAACCGCGATCCCTACACACTTGCCTAAGCTTGCCTAAGCAGATGTTTGAAACTGCTGAGCTATCTCGCCAGCTCCTAATTTTAGTGGTCTTTTTGCTAAGCATCTGAAGAAAAGGGTAGAAAGTTTATGGCAGCTTTTGTACTCTTAGACCTAGAAGGATTTAGCATTTTTAAAAATGTATTTGGTACAGAGTCTCACTATGTAGCTCAGACTCACAGTGATCCTCCTGTATGCAGTCTCCCCAGTTGCGGGATTACAGGCATGTGACCCCATGCCTGGTCTCAGTGGCCAGCTCAACACACCTGAAGGTGGTGCTGGTGTGGTACGTGGTGCTGGGATCGAACCCAGGCCCATGTGCTTTCCTAAGAAGGTACTTAATCCACTGAGCCATCTTGCTGGCCCAGGATTTAGTATTTTGTTAAGAACTTGGAGCGTACTTTTCCTTGAGCCAAGGGCTTATAGTCTCTCCTCTTTACTATTTCTCATCTCCATTTTGAAAACTCACAGTTTTGAAAATGGGGCCCAGAAAAAATGGAAGTATTAATCTACAGTCTCCATAGTATGTTTTCTCTGTGCATACCACTCCACCCTTCAGCCACACACTTGATTTCTTCTTTAATCATTAAAGCTTTCCCCACTTGGTGGCCCACCCCTTTAGGGCTCAGTATTTAGGGCCATGGAAATGCTCTAATGGGATAGCCCGATGTGACTGACGGCTGCTAATGCATGAGATGGGCACACATGCCCCTGTGACAGGAGCATCCACACACCCACAGGGCGCCACCATTCCACGCAGCACATCTGCCCTTAGGTTCTAGCAGGAAGACATTCTGTTGGAGGAGTACTGGTGAGGGAGCTGATTTGGGGGGCAGCTTGCTTGGCATTGATATGATGAATGCCTCTTCTCAGGTAGTCAGCCTTTGTCAGTACCATAAAATCATACTGTAGAGCTGCTCAAAACATATACCATACAATAATTGTTCTGGGAGATGCTCAAGACATAATTTGTAGAGACACACTAAAGAGTTCACACAGAGTTTTGTAATGAGTCCTGTTCCTGACAGTTGACTTTGTTTGCCTCTTCAAAACCTTGATGTCTCTCACTACAGCATGTCAGACCCGCGAGGTAAGCAATGGGATTCCCACTGCGCAGCTGTGAAAGTGGGGCACGAAGTTGAATATCTTCTCCAAACCATTGACTGGTGGAATCAAGACTCAAACCCTGTCAGCTTAACTCCTGATTTGTACTCTTTACAACTAAATAATACTAATTTATTCGCATAGAATTTTTTGGATGTTTCAATATGTTAATAGAACCTATAAACTCCTAAAAATATATATACTGTGTAGCGTTTTCCACGTATTCTTAACTATAAAAATAATGCTCCTCTCGCTGTGTGTCCAGAACTGGG